TTCTGACAGGAATTACGATTACAGCGACCCACCTACCGGGTCAGATACAGACCTACTATATTTTCTGATCTCGTAAGCATAATGCAAACTAAATTATCATAACACACTAGCGCCTCATTATTGCAAAAAATGTCACAAGATCCTTGTCACCGGGTCAGATATGTTTGTCGCACTATATTGTTTTAAGACAGGTGTTATATCAGTTTGAATTCACTGTAAGTATAGTACGGGGGTATGGTAAGGTGAGTTGTCTTGGCGGCTTTTGATCTGAATAGTTCTAGTCATTTTGAATTCCTTCGTGTATGAGTACGCCTGTGTATGGGTAGACAATATAATATTAATCACTATGAATGTTATACATAAACTTATCTATTAAATTTGATGTCTGTTCTATTTGTTGTTTCATTTTTTTCTCCCTCTGACACTTAAGGTGCCTTTCCACTACTAGAGGTCCACTCGGAAAACTTATTTTGTAAAAAAAAAGGACGGAAAATATACAGCTGAGTTTAATATCCAAGATGTTTAATAAAAATCATACACAGTCCGTAATGGTGCGAAATCAGTAATTGCAACTGGGTTTCCACTGAAGAAACACTTATATGCAACATTGTTATAACAACGGGCGTCGGAAATGATCTTAGGCGATTCGTTGCTCGTTTACCCCCTTTTAAATAATTACGGTATAAGATTACATAGAAATACAGAATACTGAAGAAGAATATAAGCCAATGTTATAACGATTCACTTTCAAAGCGTTATTTGCCTCTATTCAAGCTAAAGTAACCTTTTGATATATAAATCAATGTAATATTTTTATTCTAGAGAAAATGAGAGAAAATCTTAAATTTTGACATAAAATGTCAACGACTTGCAATCAAAACCTGCTTCCATCAATTTCATAAATGATATCAAAACTAAAAATGTTTTAAAAAATCTAATAGTCATCAACAAATCCAATTCAAAATTGAAAAGTATTAACAGTTCTATAAAAATGTTTCAGCGATCATTTACAAGACTTGTTCCGCAAAACTGCATGATTGTGCCAAATGCGAAATACCGGAATTATGTTATGTCCGAGGTTTTGGCTCAAATAGAGAAAGAATGTGAAAGGTATTGCCCAGCACCGCGCGTGCCTCCGAGGAAGGTTTGTGGTTGTCTTTATTGTATTATCAGTCTTTGAGTAATTACATACGGTACGTTTAACGCATCAGGTGGCAATAGTAGGGGCGGGCAGTGACGTTGGTCGCGTCGCCGCACTCTTTCTTAAGCAGCAGCCGGTGGTGCGCAAACTGAGCCTGTATGACGATGAGCCGGACTCCTGTGTGATGGGCGTGGCCAACGACCTCGCCCACATTGATACCAGCGCAGATGTCGAAGCGTTCCAGGGTCGTCCGCGTTTAGGCGATGCGCTTACTGTAAATACTTTGGATACATATATTTTAGTGACTCGCAGTAGAGTTTGTACTAATAAAGAGTCTATTGCTGTTACAATCGCAATTATTGCCAGTTCATCCTTATTACTAAAAGATAAAAGAAACATCGACAAATCTTACATTTAGACAAAGTATTAGAACCTAATCTTAGTTTGATGACATATGGCAACCGGTATAGAGGTAAAAGTGATAACGCAGGAGTGCCATTGGTTGTAGTAAGCTCCCAACGCCATTTATATTTATAAATTGGTTAGAATTCTGATGTGGTGCTGATTTGCGGTGGGCATTTTGTGACTCCGCCGTGCTGCTGCGCGCTGGACCGCGAACTATTCTTCAAGAACATGGAGCGCGTGCGCGTGGCCAGCATCGCGTGCGCGCGATTCTGTCCTTACGCCGTCGTCGCCGTGCAGACGCCGCCTGTCGACTGCAACTTCGCCCTATGCATGCATGTTAGTATAACTTATAGTCAACTGAGAAACTGTTCACGTTTTGGCTAGGTATGAACTTCTCTGTGTACCAGGAATATTTCTCACCAGACGTTAAAAACGGCGGGAGTATACGACAAGCGTCGCGTGCTCGGCGTTAACTCTATAAGCTCGATGCGAGCCAATCAACTGTTCTGCGCATTGACGGGCGCTGACCCCGCCACCACGCAGACACCTGTCATCTGCGGCACCGGCAGATGCACACGCGTGCCAGTCTTCTCTAAAGGCAAAGCTGGCAACTTCCCACAGGTAAATCAATAGTATAAAAAGATAATTTTCTACATTCAAGTCGAATTAATCCTTTTTCTCTAATTAAAGAGACATGGTAAGGTTAATTGACTTCGGTTGGTAAGTGGTATAACAAAAGGAAATATACTTTTTGTACACCTCCTTCAGGTTATTATTTGTAGTAATAAATCTAAAATTCTTCAAAATTTTCATTAAAGCTAGATGGGCTGCACTGCTGCAATCTTAATGTATTGGAAATGTCAATTGGCAGATGTCACTTTGCTATTTTACCTATTTTAAGTGACCGTTTGCTTCTTTATCGTGAATTTTAATATAAAGTCAGATTGAATTGTACGACAATCGGGATAAATACGAATAACATGTCTCTGAACTGGCTGAAATGTGAATGACCGAGCTCTTCCAAATCGGCGAAGGCTTTCGTCGGCTTTATTTGGCGACTTATTTTTAGTTAACGTCGACCTTGATATCAACATTTAAATGCTTTGATAATTCTTTTACAGTCTTAACCGGTTCTTTAAATTCGGCAAATGCTATGTTATATCGCGAAAAAGGACAAACTAAATTTAATATTATTTGTTATATATGTCAGTTTTATTTTAAGCTAAATATAAGTAAATAAAGGTTAAGGCTTCCTTCGAACATTTACTTATAAAATACAGCTTTAGTGATAATTTGATAAGTAAAAATAAAAAAAAATCGAACTAGACAATAAAATTATAAACTAATATTGTATGACACTGCATACAGGAGATAAAATTAAAATTGAATCGATTTCCGAGAAATCTATGAAGATTACGCTGAATTTAAGGGATAAGATTTAAGTGTTTATAAGGCATTTTTCGACGAATTATAAGGCAAATGTTAGTAATAATGGACATGCAAACCTAGGTTACATTTAAGCGTGTTCAGTAAAAAGCAGGAAGAGGTTTTTTACCTTGTACATTCCACCTGTTAGTTTAAAAATAGCCTAAATTATCAACGTTTTAAAAATAGCTCAAGTCAATACACAAAGACAATATATACGCACTTCTGATTGTCGAAAAATAAAGTAAAGATCGTTTAAAATATCACATATAAGACGTAATTTTTTAAATTAACTATATTAAATAAATTAGTTTTAAACGTTTTATTATTTATTTCAAGACGCAAGTGGAATGCCTCACAAAATTGGTGCGGGAGGCTGATGAAATTATCTGTAAAGTTAAAGCCAACTATGAGCAAGGACATCTTTCCATCGGTTTCTCGTCTGCAAGATTTGTTACTAGCGTTATGCAAGGTAAATCAAATTAAACTGATATATAAACACGCCTAAACACTCACGTATATTCGTGCGGTGGCGGCACCGACTAGTTACGAGCCCATCGGGGGCCCTTCATCAGGATCAATGGTACTGGTATTATTTCGCGGACGCGGCTCATTGAGCGTCGTCGCTCACTGAGCCCAGTGAACCCAGAAACTAGTCGGTGCCGCCACCGGACGAATATACGTGAGTGTTTAGCCGTGTTTATATATCAGTTTAGTATAATGTCTCACGAAAGTTTGAATAATTTAGTAAATCAAATTGTTACGTTATTTATATAATAATTTATCAAGCAAAAGTCTATTAAAACAGATAAAGATAAACCTGTATAGACCAGCGCTTCATCACAATCTCACAGATAGTTTTTAGTCGTCAGTTCAAATACGTCTTCACGCAATGGTTCAAAACTCTCTTGAACTTGAACTTCTCTTCGACTTCTTTAAAGGTTTGTTTGAGAAGAAGACTTTTATCGATAGCGCGTTAGTAGAACAGGATCATGCTGAGAAGTGCTACGGCATGAAGATCTGCGCCACGCCGCTGTCAATTGGCAAGGGTGGCATCGTGGAGTACGTAGTGCCCACTCTCAATGAAGTCGAGACCAAGCTCTTGGAAGAAAGCAAGTATGTACAGTTTATTTTCCTTTCGGAATGACCAATGAAAATAATGCAATGAGACAAAGCAACAAGACCCCATGCAGCTTTAAATCTATACTAATAATATAAAGTCGAAGAGTTTGTTTGTTTGTCTAAACGAGCTAATCTCAGGAACTACTCGTCCGATTTGAAAAAAATATTTTTTTGTTGTATAGTCCATTTATAGAGGATGGCTTTATATATCATTACGCTGCGACCAATAGCTTTTTTTTTAATTCCGCTCTGACGGAGTCGCGGGCGACAGCTAGTCTTAAGATTATGGATTTATTTAATAAAATATTAAAAAAGAAATAAAACTTACCTGTTAATTATACGATCTTTATAACAAATGTCATATAAAAAAAGCTATGTACACCTTTGATAGTAGTAAGTCGCGTCATATTTTTTGTAACACTTTTTTTGATGTTAATGATTTTTATATACAAGGTGCGATCTCGAAGACATGTTGAACCTGGGGCGGTGCTACGCGGTTGGTGACGAGTACTGTTTGAACCCTTGCAAGATCTATACATTCCCGCCATGCGTGCCTTGCGAGATTTGTAGACCGAGTGCGAAATCTAAAAGAAATCGATAAAATGAAACATGATATGAAAATAACGTTTTTTATAGTTTTAGAAAGTTAAATTAATTTTCCTTACTCAGATTTATTTAAGCACTCCTTTAGTTTAGATTTCCTAAATTTACACTACACTAAGGGTGACTTAATCAACTCCCAGCGCGGCAGTTAATATACAATTTAATATGTTATTTTTTAATTAAAATGTAATACATTACATAATGTCTTAATTGACGTAATGTCTTAATTGAATTAAATAAAAAAGTTTGAGAACTGTGAATAAGTTCAGTAAAATTATTTATAACAAATTGTAACACGATGTGAACACGACTTAATTTTAAATATGATTTTTGTTGCTATGATTTGTGTGACATTTGCATTGCATTTGAATTTTATTCGTCCTCTGCAAATGATAAAAATCAGTTCGTCGTTCGTCGTAACGTTTTCTTATGCAATTATAATATCTGTATAGTCAGGTCTTGTCGGATCAGGGTCGCGAATATATTGGATAAAATGCATAGCGTTGGAAGTAATAGCGATCATTTGACCCGAGATGCCGTTTGCGACGACCGTGCCTAATATATGCAATTATTTGCAAAATAAACGGGGTACTGGTTGCATTTGATTTAAAACTGTGAATTGTTTAAATATTTATACAAGTAAGTTCTTTTTATTTACAACTTTATTAAAGTTTTTTTTTAAATGATATAATTTTGTTTTTGGTTAACTTATTGGTGTTGAAAATTACAAGTTGTAACGTTTTTATTTTCTTAAAAATGTGTTAACTAAGATAAATATTGTTTTCAAATTGAAATTAATGTTTGTTAAAGAATGTTAATTGCAAATTAATTAGTAAAATTGGGAATTTTCCTTGATAAGCATTAAATAAAGTCGCATGAAATTTTTTATTTAACTATTTTAAATACAATTTTTATAGTTACACAAACGATAAACTCATAAGTGTATTTGCGTTTAAAACTTTCAAAAAAATTGAGCAAATATTCCCATGATTGTGTAGAATATCGTAGAATTATGTTATGAAGTTATTTTGTAAAAAAATTGTAACAAGTTACTTGAATAAAATTTTAAGTAATTGAAAATTAATAATTATATTTCAATAACAATTTGATATTAATTTTTTCCGTTAAAATTGTGATAATTATAACTAAAAGCAAGGAAATGTTCAAACTTATTTTATATTATTCTTGTAATAAATCACTAATAAAATTAAAAGAAAAAAAAAGTAAAATCGTTTAATTATCTGTCTGTCCCCAAATCCGCGTGTGTTTCGGGTAATCGCCGAAACCGCTGGATCAATTTTTATGGGGACTTTTACTGGGAGATATCTGGTGTTTGTAGTTTAGGCTATTTTTAATTTCACCCTTACGAACTCGCGGGAATCCGCTAGTTTAAAAATTAATCGGCACAATGACCGACAAGTGAGTTCATGTAAATGAAGATAAGTAATTATGATATTGATGATAACTATAAGTTATGTATAATATGTAAATTATTTATGATAGTAACTATATACTGTAAGATTATAGTTTTAACATTATTATGTTTTTTTTTAATAAATTATCCAAATTAATTAAATAAACAAATCCAATCTAAAAACATTTATGAATAAAGAAATAAAATACGACTTTACAGGTTACAGGAGTAAAGAAACAGATACGAAAATTTTACGTCTCTTTCTAACCAGTGATTATGTTATATATTCCTTTATAATCAGCTATCCCTTGTTATTTTTTAAAATCGATAAATGGTATGTGATATTTGACATAGATGTCGAATATAATCTGGAATATTTGGCTACTTAAAGTATTTTATTTCATAATCCGCGCATACGAAGCCGCTGGCTAAAATTTTATTGAATTAGTCTTTCTATGTATATCTCGCGATCAATCTTACAATGCATCTGTCCTTGACATTAGTACATGTCGTGGGAAAATGTTTTTGTATGTTATATGTATATTTGCATTGAAATCACCGAATAATTAAATATTTAACAAACGTGACATCAAAAACTGTTTCAGAATGACTGAAAAAAAAGATATTTGTTATCCAAACTGCGCTAGCTCTGTGTTTCTGAGATCTTGCGAAGAAGAAATTACGACTCCACTGGAAGGAAAAACTACAGGTTGGTTTTTAAATCTAATACTCTTAATGTACCTACTGATTAAAAAAGTTTTATACTACTTTCTCCTTTGAGATATCTATTCAGAAATCACGAAGTATTTTGTCTGTTTTTACTTTTGGATTCAGTAGATATTTACTACAGTGATAATATAGTCAAAATTAGAAATCAAAATTGTCACTTTTAATACCACTAATCTCGGTTCACGTACGCATTCTTAAAACAACGATCGAGTAGCTAACTACAAACGTTTGGATTTTATAATACCTTAATACTATAACTAATTTTAGGTCACATACCACCATGGCTGCAAGGTACGCTTCTACGGAATGGTCCGGGGACACTTAAAGTTGGATCGATGTCTTTTGACCACGTGTTCGATGGTTCAGCTCTTTTGCACAGGTCGAGTTTAACTATACACACTAATAAATTATGCATACACTACTTTGTTAGGCGTTTTAAATCCATTAAGATTAGTACAATCTAGAAGTTTATGTTTCCATTTAAATGATCAGCGTACCAGAGGTTTTTTAAAAGAGAAATACAATGTTCACATGAAAACTTTTAACTCTTAGAGTAGATGTGTCATACTTAATATAAAGTAAGGAAATTCCTAAATAACCGTCAATCGACGTTATTTGTGGTGGCGACTTAGTTAATTGAAAAATAAAATGTTTATTTATAGCTTCAAGATCTCAGAGGGGACGGCGACATACCAATGCCGCTTTGTACGCACTGACACATACAAAAGAAATAAGGCAGCAAATCGTATTGTTGTTACAGAATTCGCTACTGAATCGGTTCCTGACCCTTGCCATACTATCTTTGATAGGTTTGTGACTGTTATTATTATACTTCTTGCTTCTATTATTTTTTAATATCTTCTTCAAGTGCCATGTCTTTGTTCTGTATATCCCTCCTACAATGGCCCTATATCTATTCTATATAATGGTACTAACTCAGATTGTATCTTAATTTTTCTATAATTTGACATTTTGAGGTTCAATTTAATTAAATGTTCTAACATCAACTCAGAAACATGTAAGTATAATCGATAATTTTAGTCCGGTAAAAATGTCTTACGGGCTACGAAATGCTCTAGTGCCATTTCACATTTAAAACTCATGCCTGTTCAAAACGTCTTTTTAATTAATAATCCATTGCAGAACATCTCATAAGCATTTTTGTTTGTTTTTTTTTTCAGGTTTACTGCATTTTTTAAACCATTAGAAAAACTATCAGATAACACGGTTGTATCCGTATATCCTATCGGTGATGAAATTTATACTTTCACGGAATCTCCCATCATACATCGGTAAGTACTATTTTTAAAAGTAAAGTTGTTATATTAACCAATAGCAGGTTTTACTCCAAACTTTTTAACCTCAATTTTTTAACTTGTTGGAATGAATAAATTGTATTTATTAAATTGTCCTTTCGTGTTAAAATTTCTACAAAGATAAAGTAAAGTTGTAATTTAAATTTTGTATAACAATATTTCAGAATAGACCCAAAGACTCTGAAAACTTTAGAAAGAAAAGATTTAATTAAAGATTTTGCAATCGTGAACCATTCGGCTCATCCACATATTTTGCCAAATGGTAAGCAGAATTAAACAATTTATCTAATTTGAGTATTGTTGAAACAAAATGATGTCTGTTATTTTCAGGTGACGTCATCAATATTGGTTTGTCATACACAAGCCGTGGGATGAGACACGTCGTCATACATTTTCCATTTACTGAAAAAGGTTAGTACTGTTAAGAAAGTCTAAAAGTACAAGCAAAATGGGTCAATAAAAACAATTTTTTAAAATTTTTGATATCTTCAAAACTCATTTTGTTTATATCGGTGTTTAATTCCAGGTGACATGTTCGAAAGAGCTCACATCGTTGGCGGTATGAAACCTCGCTGGCAAATGCACCCCTCGTATATGCATTCTTTTGGTAAATTAAAAATTATTTTTATGATTAATTTCCTTGAGCCATTATTCTACACAAAGACACACAAAATCATAACCCTAACCCTAGGGAGTAATTACGGTTTTACGTTTTGCAAGGTCCAGGCACATCTCAAGGTGCTTCCATATTTTTAAATCAACGCATACTTTCTCGTCATTATTTTACTGAAAGTAAATATAAGTAATGGCAACATTGATATAGAATAAGTGAAACATTGTCTTATTTGTTTTAGGCATAACAGAGAACTACTTCGTATTAATCGAACAGCCTATGACGATATCTTTAAGGACAGTGTTGTGGAATGTATTTTTGGACAAACCTTTTGCATCCGCTCTGCAATGGTATCCAAAACTTGAGGTATTTGTTTATTTTTAACGTCCAAATTCTTTATAATAAAAATTATATTAAATGTCACAGTGCAAGCAATTAGTCAATTAAGCTTTTGAACCGACAATAGCCTAATGGTTAAGGGTATGGATTTTCGATCACGCGTTCGAGAGTTCGAATCTCGCCATTCGACTATTGTTGTAAACCATATTTTGGCACAAGCCTACAACTTAGTTGGAATGGTATAAGAAATATTAGTAAATTCTCAAAAAAGTCTGATAACATTTAAAAAAAAGGTCATAAACATTTTTATTTTATTTCTTAGATGTTTAAGGCACAATTTTTTATCTCCTAAGAATAGCCTACCTAAACTCAATCATACAAACTTCACTTAATATTACAGTTACCTGTGATGATATGACAATTTAAGGACTATGCTTCTTTTGGGTAAACTTATTTCTTAATAATAAAGTAACAAATATTCAATAAGTTTTCAATATTTTAGACGAACATAGTACTGATAAGTCGTAAAACCGGAGAAGAAGTGAGACGCTACCGCACAGAGACTCTCTTCTACTTCCACGTGATCAACGCGTTTGAGGACGGTCAAAACGTCGTACTCGACTTCTGTACATACAAAGATGCTAAGATATTGAACGGGATGTATATCAAAGCGATGGAGGTAAATTATTACTAGAATCTTAAAAGTAATCCTTATAAGTATTGTCATCCCTTTCTTTTTGATAAAACGAAGACTGAAATATGTAAACAAAAGTGTCAGTGTAGTCGAAACCTACAGTAAGCAGACCGTAACTGTGGAGGCGAGGTCGCGGACGAAAGCGTAAACGTGCCCGTGGCCTCGACATGATGCGTAGGAGGAACAGAGGGGTTTAGTGGGTATGATTCCATCCGGAAGAGAATCATATTCCCCTCTGAAAAAAAGACCGTAACTGTGTCACTGATTCGCTAAATGGTTACTATTAGAGTAATAGTAATTATTTAACCTTATACATCAAAAACTAATATATAAATGGCTAAAACACTCTCGTATATTTATCCGATGTCGGCACCAACTAGTTACGAGCCCATCGGAGGCCTTTCATCAGGGCGAGTGACTTCAAATACACATGAGTTTTTTAGACGTTTATATATGACTTTGTATTAACTATGAATTTTATAATTTATGTTCTTATAGTCGATACAAAGTAATGAAGACTGTGCAGAATGGTTTCGTGCCCGTGCGAAACGTCTCAAAATGCCACTCGAATCTCCCGATATGACGTTTGTAGAGGCCAAGTTGCTGGCTAACATTGGATGTGAAACGCCTAGAATACATTACAATATGTATAACGGTAAGATATTGTTATTCCACTTATCTGCTTGAAAAAGAAAGAGATAACAATATGATAGTAACAAGATATAAGGATCACTGATATGCTTTAGGCGGTTAAGTTATATTACATTTTTTTACTTTTAAATTGTACTGTTCATAATTCTAATTGCTATTTAAAAAAGTAATGTTTGCCAAGCGTTTATATCTTAAGCTGATCTCAAACAATGATTATTTATTTTGATGTATGTTTTTGTTAAAGGGAAATCGTATCGCTATTTCTACGCAATAAGTTCAGATATTGATAACATCAACCCAGGAGCGGTAAGTTACACAAAAAAACTATCCAAAATCACAATGAGTGTACATATTTAATTAGGGAACATTGTTTTAAAAACTTCTTTCGTGAAACTGCCGAAATATTCGCATAAAAATTTATATCCAAGAAAACTATAAGAACGAAACAAAAATGTGGTATCTCGGTTATGTACTTACCTACAATTTTATTTTAATTATTAGTAAGTAATTACAATTAATTAGTTTTCGTAAAAAACGTAAGATTTTTTTTAGGTAGTAAAGGTGGACACATGGTCAGGAGATTATAAGACATGGTTTGAAGCGGGCAGTTTTGCAAGTGAACCTGTTTTTGTGCCAGAACCACAAGCGCAAGTAATTATTTTTTTAAGTAATTAAGTTAAGTAAAACTAATCAAAAACGAACTCTTTCGCTTGTGGAACCGCGACTGCGTGGCATTCACTTAACAGTAACTTTCAGTCGACCAAAACTCTTTGCTTTTTTATGCATACTGTTAAAAATAAATAGCAATTATTATTTTTTGGTAATATGTAATCAAAATCCATCAGGCATTTTATTGTTAACATCAAATAAAAACATTGACTATTTTTAGCTGTATACCACATCGAGTATCCATGTGTGGTTTAAATAACTCCATTATTTTTCTAAGTTCTATCATTCTGTTTATAACAGGAAGAAGATGCGGGTATACTGCTATGTGTTCTACTCTATGGTTCTCATATATGCAAGATCAGTCTATTACTACTGGACTCACGAACTTTGTTAGAAGTTGGCCGTGTCACATTTGATACGCCTTCGCCATCGCCCAAATGTATCCACGGCTGGTTTATATCAGATCGCGTTTAACCTTGACCCTAGAACAAAAATATAATCAAACTTCTTAAGCTATGTGGTTGATGAAATTTTTTAATTCAATTTATATTATAAACTTAATATGTCGTAATAATTTAATTTTTCGTCCTACTAACGGTCTGAGGTTGTTTAAGAATCTAATTAAACTAAAATGAATTTCAATGACCGAACCACAAGTTATATCTTAGAATAGTGCACTTAGTTATGTTATTTTTTTTTATAAACGTAAAGTTTTTGTTTGTAAGATATATTAAGTAAATTAACAATAAATGTTTTTTTCTAAAAATACTCTTATTTACTCTCCCTAATTATTTTATATCATCTCTTACTTTATCGTGGTTTAATAAAACTTATACCTAATAATTCTAACAATATACGATAATTAGGTATATACATATTGTTAGGAAGAAAATCCGGAAATGAGCCAATGTGTTGACTCAACACTAGCCTTACTAAAATGTCGACGTTTGAGCCCCCTCGCATTCATTCTGACACTACACTTTGTATTGAAAGCACGTCATTCGCGCCAAAGGATTGTAATTAATCTTATAAAATTCTCGTTTCACAATTTTCGTTCCCATAATCCTCCGAAACGGTTTGACGGATTATCATGAAATTTTGTGAGCATATTGAGTAGTTCTGAGAATCGGCTACTATCTATTTTTAATCCCGCGCAGTCGGAGTCGCGGGCGACAGCTAGTAATATCTAAAAATACGTACCTTACATAACATATCATCATATCTCTTTATATTTTCAGTTCATCAACTCACTATACGTGCCCACTGAGGGGCTCGGAGCCTACCCTTGGAGTGACTAGGGCGTTAGAAGTTTCAGTTATTCAATAAAAAGTAATAAAATGCTATATACAGCGTAACCTCTTGCCGACACTGATCGTATTTAAAAATATGCAAACCAAAATCGAAAATTTATCAAACACCAGTCTGCGTGCACAAAAATCGTAGTAAAAATAGTTTCCGCTCATTCTATTCATAAAAAGTCGTAATGACTACTACTCCCCATCACTTCACCTCGCTGCGGTCTAGCTACTTTCATTAATAAAATGATTCGTAGTATTTATTTCTAAAAAGTATCGTGTCCATGTTTTTACATGATTAATGTTAAGTAAAAAATTTAGACTTTTTACTTAAATGTTATGTGTTCTAAATTACCTGAATTTTTATTTTTGTTAATTAAAAAATTAACATACATGTATTAAGTTTTCGATTATTCGATGTAAAATTTCTGTAGAAGTATTTTTAAAAGTTTCATGTAGATAATGTTTTCTTTGTATACATTTATTTACCATATTTTTAATATAGTACATTTCATATTATATTAAAAATAGAACATCACCGGCTGCGGAATCCCATGACTCATACAACCAGTGGTCAGGGCTGTAGACAGGAACCTTCTCACGATGCGCGCGGTTTCTAGGATAACTGCCTTTTGTATCGGGCCCTTAATCCAACTGTTTAGCGAGAGCTTCTGAGATCTTTGTATACTATTAGTAATATTAAAGACAAGGTAACAAGCGAAATTAAATGAAAAGTCATTAATTTTTGTTCGTAAGAATCGAACCCGAAGAATTGACTCCGTCAATAAGAGGACAGCAAATGAGTTGAATAAAAAATATGACGTGTTTATTATTAATATTGTTTATTCTTTTAGTGTTTTTTTTAAAGTTCAGACGAGACAAATATTCTGGGAAGTAAAAACAATTTACCTATAACTTTATACTTGTACAGTTTGTAAAAGGCAAATTCGTAAACAAGTTTCGAAAGTTCAGTTTTACTTTGTGTGTCCTAACTATGAGTTATTGAATAGTTTTTGAATATTATTTCCATAATACTTACACGTAATAAAGGAAACATGTAAGTAAAATAATCTTAATAATTACTTATAAGTTTCTATGCATAATAACCATGCATCCATCTCTGTTATTATCTTTGACAAGACAGGGACAACAACAGTTGTGACTGCGACTAAACCCGCAATCACAATACGATCGAAGTATTTGTTTTACGACTTTTACGTCAAATGACGTCACATTTAAATTAAACTTTTTTACGTAGTCTTAAAAATCCAACTAGAAGATTGATTGAGCCAGATCAATCTTACTAATATTATAAATGCGAATGTTTGGATGGATGGATGTTTCTTTGAAGTTATCTCGAGAACTGCTGTATAGATTTTACTAAAATATGGCATAGACGTAGAACATAGTCTGGAAGAACACATAGGTTACTAATAATGTATTTTTACCGCGCGGACTGAGTCGCGGGCGGCAGTTAGTATCTTTGTATAATTTTCTCATAACATTAATCTAACCTTCTTTTGTTTCATGCCGTAAATTCAACCAGGACAAATAAAAAAAACTGCCAATGAAAGTAATACAATCTTGTATGAATAGAATATTTACTCTCGGGATTTGTTCTAATAATACAATTTGAAAGTGTATCAAATCAGTGCACATTAAAGTAATGTAGATACATTAATAGTTAAAATGAATGTATTTCTTATTATTTCATTACTCAATCCATTCGGCAATTTCATAATTTTTAAATGAATCCATGCATCCACATCTGTACCGGCTCAAAATATTTCGAGGTCAAACAACATCGTCCAGTTTTCAGTGTCGCGTCGCGAACATTTCATTCTGCTTTTTTTTTTGGTTTTCAAAGTGAAATATACTCCAACGTAACGTAGGAACTTAAAGCCAACTTAAGTACTATCTGGTAAGCAGAACATGTGTAGTTTAATACTTCCTTGTGCACAAGGCTACGTAACCTGCAAATGCTTTGAGATGGAGGAAACAGTTTTGAATTTCAAAAAAAAAGTTATTTTCAATTAGAAGCTTTTGAAAATTATTAGATGTGACATTGTTAATTGTTCCTGTAGGTTCTGTAAAACAGAGGCCATATAAAGTAGGAAGGTCGATCAAATGAGTTGGATTATTTAGTCACGTGCAATGTAATGCTTTTCATCCTTAGCACGGGTCTTGGCAACGGTCACGTTTTCGCTTCTCGTGTTACGGATTTTATTCTTTATATTTACATTCCGGGTTATTCAACTTTGAACGGGATAGTTTTCAAAATTAATTAAGAATAAATATACCGAGACTTTATACAGTTTCATTAGTCGTTAGCGTCACTTGCTTTACATAGACCGATCATTTACATTGATAATGAGCCGGTATACGGCAACTCCCTACAAAGACCGACCTATCAACTAATGTAATTGCGCCCTAAGTAAGAGAACAACTTCACAGGTTGAAACATACTTTTAGATTCAAATCATAGAGTCCAAGAACCAGCTTTAAATCACTTTGGATTTAATTGTATTTTGAGAAGAGTTAGTATCAGAATTTTATAGGTAAATGTATATCAATTGAGGTGCGTCTTAGGTAAAGATGATGAATCTACCTAATAATCTTTGAGGCCAGTAACTGAAAAATTGTTAATCGGATGTGGATCATTGTGTCTCATTATACAGTTCTGTTGCAAACTAATTGTCTCTCGTTATCTATAATTATTCACTTCATCACATTTCATGTCTTGTCATTCCTTTAATAGTGGTAGAGCCCGCTTCAACATCTTCGCACGAATTGTCCCAGCTCGCCCGGTGAAATACCACGACCACACAGAAGACAAGCGTGAAGTGGAATCAATTGCGCGTTTCGTCTGATGAGTGTGCGTCCCGGAGGCCTAATTTAGTCCTCTTTCCCTTCCCAACTTTTTTCTTATAAGGAAAGGATGGGAAGTGGAAGTGGTCTTTCTGGATGAGAGGATGCATGGAACGGGAATACATTTTCTTTCTGTGCAGCCTCTCCTCCGTCTATTAAGGGTAGGCAACGCATATACAATTGCGTAGGTCTATGGGCAACGGTCACTTGGCTATATCAGCGATTTCAGGTGGCCGCACGCTCGTTTGCTACCTTATGATATATAAAAAAAAAACATCAATAGCTAATAACATAACTATTAATATAAACGCGAAAGTTTAAATGGATGGATATTAACACACAAAGACAACTTTTTATGTTGTTTTAAATACTAAAGTCGCGGGCGACAGCTAATAATCGCAGAAAAGTAAGTGCTTAATAAAAAACTAAAAAATATTCTCCAGTAATATATTTATATTATAATCCATTAAATGCAAAGTTCAACTTATGAACGTACTTATATGATGCTGTTACGATTATATACGATTAATATGATTATGATATTATGATTTCCCGTTAAATTAATAACGTTTGCATTTTGAACTTGATCGTTGGCCTTGCCGCGAACCGCCGGCGAGGTCGCGAGGATCAACTCTCACCCCCACCCGGATAATCCCATCGGATTCAATTGTTGTCTGCCGTAATTTATAAGAGGAAGCGATATTTGATTAGTAAGTCTGCCCGTGGTAAAAATCTATGGTCAAAAGACATCTAACAAAACAGGATATAAACAAAACATCCTGGAATAATTGGTATGGTTCAGTGTTCTGTGCAGTTATTGGTGTTAACTGGGATAAGGGCATGCAACCGTTGATCTGATAAAGGGAGATTCGAAACTAATGTTTACTGTGTTTTTTATTAGACTAGACTAAGTTCTATTAGTATGTTTGTTCTAGATAGTTCGACATAGATCATTATTATACTTTGAACGTCGATACCTTTTTTAAATTATTTATAAACAAATTAAAAATCGCTATTAACTCAATACTTGAGTCTCAGTGAATCGCTGCCCTTACTCGATTTTTCAATGTCAAGTGCCTTAATAAGGTACGCTCGTGTCCATTTATATTATTAAAATACTATTTGATTTATACATTTTCTATTTAATTACCGAACAGTTTTAGTCTGTCGTTTATTATCTCCAGATAACCTAACTATCTCTATCAGTGCACTGCTCGTCGATGATTGCTGCCAAAACACCTGGGCAAAAATATGTTGTTATCCCTCTCATTGTCTTTGAAAAAATTTAAATAGCAGCTTTTTGTGCAGGTGTAAGGAATTTATGGTGCCATGCATTGTACGTTAATTATCATACAAAATATGCCAAGTAAAGAAGCCATATAAAAAGCGAAAAAAGTGAATTTACAGTTACTGTTATACGATTTACGTTTATGTAATATAATAATTAGAATTAAATTATAAAATACGAATAAACGTTGCTATAACAGTCCGGGGAAGATGTGAAAAATGACACCTCAATCTTTATAAGGAAATCACAATTAAACGAATAAATAAATTAATGGTTTCTTAGCCATAGATTTGTCTATCAAATCTACAATAAACCAATCCCTTAATACCCACTCTGAGTGTGGCATTAAGTAACAATACAATTCACATGTAGCACAAATAAACTCGTGTATGTCGACGATGTTCTGAAGGTCAGTCGGGGGTGTTAGCGACTGTACCTACCCTTAGCCACCCGGCTTCAGTACCACTTCAGTCAGTACTGCGACACAACTCACATCTTGGAGGAAAATTATTTTATAATTTTATTGTGGTTGCTTTTTTGTGAAAATTTACGCGTTGACAGTATTTAGTGAGTGATATAAGGTGTGTTTATGAAAAAATTATTAAGAACAAACGGTTTTTGTGTTATTTAAAGTCTTCTATTAGTCTTAGTCTGCGTAATCAAATACGTCGCAATTATTACAATTCAAAGACATTTAGCGTTTATCTAATTGAAAAAGTAAAGATCAGTGTGTGATTTATAAATGTATTTTTTATAAGTCTGCGTATTTAAAAAAAAAAGAGAATTTTTTTAATGTTTTAGTAAATACAGACGTTGTTTTGTTTTTATAGAAATGGCGGAAAGCAGCGAGAAATTGTACCCTAATTGTAACAGTAGTGTGTGGCTAAGGTCATGTGACGTGGAAGTGACGGAACCCTTACACGGCAAGATCACAGGTACGGTATATATGCATCTTTCTAATATTATAAATGCGAAAGTTTATATATAATAGACGGATAGATTTTTGTTAGAAGATATGTTCAGAACGGCTCAACGGATCTCGATGAAATTTGGCACATATATAGAACATAGTGTGGAAGAAAACATAGGCTACTTACTATTTTTTTAATTCGCAAGTCGCGGGCAGAAGTTAGTATTCTCATTTATGGTAAAGATGATATACGTACCAATTAGTAGATTAGATGTTCTTTGTATTAATTTCATTTCAAGATATAATATATGTATAATCGTCATCAGCTCGCTATACGTCTCCACCGAGGGGCTCATAGTCAACCACGCAAGCCAAGGGTGGGTTGGTTGACTTCACGCATATCGTTGAATTTCTTCTCAGACATATGCAGGTTGCATCACGATGTTTTCCTCCACCAAAAGAACGTCGGATAAATGTACATATGCAAATCGTAAAACGAAAGGCATATTGGTACATGACGGGATTCGAACCCAGGATCTATAGATTGCAAGTCAAGTGCTTGACTCCTGAGCCACCGACGCTCTTGATGTATAACAATGTATCAAGATGTATTCAATTTAAATTCCAGAAACTTCAGCATATTACATACTACTACTATAGATAACTATAGAAAAAAACTTTAATAAAGTCTAGAACATGCATTTACTCTATATCAAATTCATTTTCTTGTTTTCAGGAAAAATGCCAACGTGGTTACGAGGCAGTTTACTGCGAAACGGCCCGGGCTCATTGAAAGTTGGTTCAATGCGTTTCGAACACTTGTTTGATAGTTCAGCTCTCGTACATCGGTAATTAATTTAACCGTTTACTTACAATTATATGTTCTATATAACTATTACTTAATTAATTAAAAAGACAACTTACTTTTTCTAAAACAACCTGGCAAAGATTACGAATTGAATAATTCCTCAAAATCGGTCATCGTACAAAATATATTTCTACGATGACCGATTTTGAATAATTAATAAACGCTCGAAAAACTTACGCCTAAGTAGCACTAAGTCAGCCAATGAATAATCAAGATAATACGACCGTGGGCCTACCACGAATATTTGCGATAAACGATACGATGGTGTTTGTCGCAATTATTCGTGCTAGGCCCACTGTACCTACTGATATTTCTTGGATACATGTGCATAAGCAACATAACTATGTTTGCATCTCATTGTATTGTTATTAGAAGGTTGAATTGGATAATACTAAAGTAAAATAATCATTAATGTATCAATTATATTTTAATTACTATAAAAATCACGTGATTGTCATTCATAAGTTTTTTTAAGCTAATTATATTTGCACCTATTGTTAATATATTTATTATGTTATTGTATTTTCTGTAGATATCTGTTTCTTTAGTAATTACCTCAAGCGTGGACTCTGCTCACCTGCGGCTGTAATTACAGAATGCAACACAAGGCCGGCCGTAATGAATCTGCTTATACACTTAACGTCATAATTAAGTAGTACAAATAAAAAAAAACAATTTAACTTTCATATTATCATACTTGATACTAATATTATTAATGCGAATCGAAGGACCGGATGGATGTCTGTTAGAACATATCCCTATAAAGTAGTGGTTGCCAAACTTATTTTGTCTACTGCCCACTTTGAGAATAAATATTTTTAGCGCCTCCAAATTAAATTAATTAATTACTGTGACCTATTTATGTATGTATATTAACGGAGAATTCTAAACGAAACTTTTACTATAACCCGCAACTTGAAACCTGCAGCGCCCACAAGGGGGCGTTATCGCCCACTTTGGGAAAGACTGCTATAAAGGCTACAATTTAGCTAAAATTTATCATATAGTGTGGAAGAACGCAGGCTACTAGATGATGAGATGAGGGCAACAGCTAGTTTATTTCGTAAATGTAGTTAGGCTATTTAAAATTTTGTCTATCAGAGCATAGTTATTGTCAAGATGTATGGACGAAGAAACCGAAATCTGTGTATTTATGTTATGAAATTGAAAATTCATTCAGATTTTCAATCCTGGACGGAGCAGTGACATATCAATGTCGGTTCGTCCGCACCAACACGTTCAAAACGAACCGCGCGGCAAATCGGATTGTGGTCACTGAATTTGGCACCAAAGCGGTGCCTGACCCTTGCCACACTATTTTTGACAGGTAGTGTATCAAACTTATCAATAGTTAATATTTAATAGTTATATATGACCATTACAGCTATTTTCTAATTCCTAAAAAGAGAGTGGTATTATTTTATTGCCTGTAATATTCATAAATTACTTTTAGCAATTAGTGTTACTATATACTAATTTTTCAGAGTTGCATCAATATTCAAACCTGCAGAATTGTCGGACAATACAATGATATCTTTATATCCTTTCGGTGATGAAATATACTCTTTTACTGAAGGACCATTTATACACAGGTACGTTTTGTTAGGAAGAGAATCCGACACTGTGCCGGTGTACTGGCGCAACACTGGCCTTACTAAAATGTCGACGTTTATGTCCCCTAACTATACATTCTGACACTTTGTAATGAAGGCGCGCCATTCGTGCCAAAGGATTCTGACTAGTAATGTCTAAAAGTTTTAACCATTAAATAATTTTAATAGAAATATTTTTTTAATTTCTAGAATAGACCCAAAAACACTGGACACATTGGAGAGGAAAGACATGATGAAATGCGTTGCAGTTGTGAATCATACGTCACATCCCCATGTCATGCCAAATGGTGAGTACGGTGTGCTTTCAAGAGATTAAGATGGATGAATGGATGGATGTTTGTTGGAAGGTATTTCCAGACGGCTCAACGGATCTCTTTTAAATTTGGCATGGATTTAGAACACAGTCTGGAAGATAACCTACTAATAAAGTTTTATTTTTAAATTTCGCGCAGACGGAGTCGCGGGCGACAGTTACCAACATGTATGTTTAACTTTTTTCAGGTGACGTCATCAACGTTGGCATGTCAATTGTCAAAGGCAGATTACGTCACGTCGTTGTTAAATTTCCTTACACAGAAAAAGGTAAGTTTACTCACTAATTAACTTATAGAATCGTACAAAATTGACTATAACGTTCTTTTTGTATTCCTCATTTATATAACTGAGATTTGTAATAAGTCTTAGTTCTAAAGAAATTGATAAAAACCAATAGTCTAAAGCAGATCGTTTTTATAATGTAAATGGTAGAAACAGTAATGTGATTTTTCTTCATTACTAAAGGTGACATGTTCGAACGAGCTCATATCATTGGCAGTATGAAACCTCGGTGGGCGATGCATCCTGCATATATGCACACTTTTGGTAAGAACAATAGACAAATCACTTTTCTATTTTTCATGAAATAATATTAGATGACAAACGACTTAAACGTCTTAAAACGACGGAGGAGGGACACAAAAAAATATATCCCCTTACTAATCCCCTTCCTTCGTCAAATCTACTTCACCTTTCCATCCTTTCCTTATAAGAAAAGGGTGTGAAGGGAAAAATGACTAAAATTAGGTCTTCGAAACGACTCTCACCAGATGAAACGCGGAATTGCTTCCATTGGACCTATGTCTTCTGTGTGGTCGTGGTATTGCACTAGGCGAGCCGACAAATTCGTGCAACAGATGTTGCCCTAGCGTCTACCACTGTAAAATAGCATTATGGTACAATCCAACGAAATTGAATTGTCTATGGTATAAGTGTAATTAATGAATTTTTTTAGGTGTAACAGAGAACTATTTCGTGATACTCGAACAACCCTTGACAGTCTCTATTTGTGGAGTACTACGCAACCAGCTAGCTAATAAACCTATGATATCTAGTCTACAGTGGTTTCCTGAACACGAGGTAAGTCCTTAATTATTTATTATAGCAAATAAATTGTCAAAAATATCAATCCACGAGCATAACAGTGAAGTTTCATAGCTGAAACTCTCTGTTTTTTTGTAAATGTAGAACGTTAATATCACTTCGTATTTTGAATACCTCTGACGTCCTCATAAAATATTGTCGCGTATATATAAGCAAGATACTTTTCAAAAGGAAAAAGATCAAATGAATTCTATGCTGAAATTCGAATGCATACTTCGTATTTTAATTTTATTGATCACACTGGGAACCTATGGAGATATGTTTTGTATTCAATAGTTTTTTTCCTTAATTTTTAGACGAACATAGTTTTAATAAGTAAGAAAACTGGCAAAGAATTTAAACGATTCCGAACCGAAACTATGTTCTTCCTTCACATAATCAACGCATTCGAGCAGGACGGAAGATTGATCGTAGATTTATGTTCTTATAAGGATGCGAAGGCGTTGGACGCGATGTATGTGAAAGCGATTGAGGTAAGGAACCCTTGAACTGACCCTCATCGATATAAATATAATGAAGTCCCTAATATGCAGGTCAGTCGACAGAAAGGCGCTTGTTTTAGTTTTCTCATATTAAATCTACATCAAGACTTCCTCAGACATTTTTACTATAAGTTCATCAATAAACTACGCTCTATAAATATTCGTGATGTTACCAGAACCAGAACTTACACACGTGCATAGGATGTGAAAATATCAGTACTTTGATACCAGAAAGCGTTTAAACACTAGTGTATCTTGTAACACGCTGTATAATCTTTAGACGATGCAAAGTAACGCAGAGTATGCGGAATGGTTCCGCGGCCGGCCGAAGCGGTTGGAGGTGTCGCTAGCAGCGCCGGCCTTGAGCAAAGTGACGCCGCGTCTGCTCGCCAACTTGGGCTGCGAGACTCCTAGAATACATTACGATTTGTACAACGGTAAAAAACACAGTATAAAGATAATAGAAATTCAGTAGAACTTTGAGTATTTATATAACCTCCTATTTGAAGTCGGCTAAAAATTTACTAATTTCAGGCCGGCCGTATAGATATTTCTACGCCATTAGTTCGGACGTCGACGCTGAAAATCCCGGAGCGGTAAGTTCAAATAAAAAGAACCGACACAATCATATAAAAATATAATAAAAATAATAGCCGTCCGATGCCATTTGAATAAGAAAAAGAATAAAAAATATCACAAAAATTAAAATAATACAATTCGACTCTTATGAAAGTAAAAAGCTCTCTTTATGGCGAGCATCTGTTTTATACTTTTTAATTAATCGAGTAACAGCTGCAATTGTTATACTTTTTTGTATTTATTTGGAGTTTATAAGAATACATTGAATTGAGAATAGAGTCGATGATTTTTTTTATTTTAAACCGTATTACAAATGCAAAATTCTTTGAAACAAATTTTTACCTTCAATTGTTTGTATTTATTTCATAACGTTAATGTGATGTATTCAAATGTTTTCCCGATTAATAATCTGTGAAGTAATTAAATTACTTTAGTGTGAAATGAATAAAGAAAATATTATAATATTACAGATAATCAAAGTTGACACGTCGTCTGGTGAGACTTGGTCCTGGTGTGAAACTGATTGTTACCCAAGCGAACCTGTCTTCATACCAGAACCTGATTCTCGAGTAAGTTCACAAGCTATCATTAAAGTAAACTAATTAAAATAACACTAATACATATCTAACCCGAAAATACAAACACAATACCTGCGTTGGCCCACAAAGTAAAATTTATATTTGAAGAATTTTTTTTTTAATGTTATTTAGAACAAGAAGTCGAGTAGATGAATGGAAGGAATTATATGAACGTTTAAAAACAATTGAATATATACAAAGCATGTTGGAAAACGTAATTTCTCTTGTATAAGTAACACTTTTTAAAGAATTCAATAGGCAACTATAACATGTTTTAAAATATATTACAGCAAGAAGATGGTGGGGTACTGTTGAGTGCGTTGCTGTGGGGATCACGAGAGTGCTCCATGGGTCTTCTAGTGCTTGATGCTCGTACAATGAAAGAAATCGCACGAGTTGATTTTGAAACACCCTCCCCAGCACCTAAATGTCTACACGGATGGTTTCTACCGGAAAAAGCATGAAGAACCTACAAAAGAAAAAAAATCAAGCAGCATTTTTCTAGTTATTCCAAAGTTTTCAATATTTGTAATATAAAAGATGTATTCAATTTTAGTTTTGTAATTGATTTATGCATTAAGAAGTACTGTTTAACATAATTTTAATAAATTTCAAGCACAAATATTTGTGTATGATTTCTTACCTTCTTAATTGTTAGTAATTGATTGGTCAAAACCAGACAAAAGGAGGAGGTGAAATATATTTAAGAAGAAGGTTGTATTATAAGTTAAATAATGAATAGGAATTAAAAGCAAAATGTAGAGTGTAAAAAAGCTTAATAAGTCATTGAGATGAACAAGTTGTTACTTGTTGTGACTAATTTATACCGTATTAGTTGACCAGACTGTATGTGTTAACTTAATCCTACGGCACACATTAATTCGTAAACATGATTATCGCAAACCTTTTACGTTATTGAACAAACATTGGGCCATTTAGTAGATATTAGCCCATTACTGTATTAACTCTTGTGAAATGAACACCCTGTGATCATTCGTTGTAGGAAAGTGCCATATTAAAACAAAATACGATCGTGCAAAAGATTAATATAACAATTAAATGTTCAATCTATCAGAAGGAAATGATAATGACATGGAAATGTGGCTTGAATTTTTAATAAATTGCCGTAAAGAAGAACCACCTTGGATGAAAACAGTATTTGTTATAACAGTTTATTTATTAATACTCATCAGTTTAATAGAAAATTTATTAACATGTGCAGTTATATTTTACGATAAAACGATGCACACGATAACTAATTATTATTTATTAAATTTAGCAACATCTGATATCATAACAACTCTCGCTGTGTTGATGGGTGCTGCTGATTCTTTTGAATATGCAACTTGGTCGTGTAAAATACACTATTTATTTATAATAGTATTATGGAACAATACTATATTAACTCTGACTATGTTGTCGATCGAACGGTTCGTGGCTATTTGGTATCCTTTGCAATTCCAATCAACTTCTGATTGGCGAAGAGTGTTGAAAGTGATTATAGTTATATGGGTTATGGCATTATTGGAGACGATACCGGAATTTTGGACTTTAAAGTCGTTAAAGGCGAATAAAACATTATTCTGTTCGACTGTTCCGACTCCTTTAGCAAGGATTATTAATGGTGTACTGGCTCTAGTGACTTTTGTAATACCAATGATCATCATGTCCTACGTTTATTTTATGATAGCATTCAAAGTAAATGTAACTCAGAAGCGTTATTCCAACAACAAGATATTCAATCATCAGGACCACAGAAAGAAAGTGAATCAACTGGTTGGTAAGTTTATATTTATTTAATAGAATTAAATATAATTGTTTAATGTACTAAAAAAAAACTTTAAACTTTAAATAGATTGTTAGAAAGCTCCAAACCTTTTTTATGATACAAAAAACACTGGTGTATACAAAACTAGATCCGTAGAATTGCATGTCTAAACGTGTCGCTGCTAGAATTTAATTAAAAGGCAAATCGGTGCAAACATTTACAGCAATATAAATGAAGAAACAACCTTTCTATGCGTTGTCATAATCTTGACAATTTTTTATTAATGAATTTATCATTTTTACGGTCAGTAGCGTTGGCTCTCTCGTTCCTGTTGTGTTGGTCGCCGTTCTTCACGATGCGAATGCTAATCTTCCTTATGGAGATGAAACAGCTGATGGCTTTCGTAAAGGTTAGTAGCAGTGCTAATCAGGGGTTTCTGAGACCAAAATAATTTAAAACATATTATCTCTATTTTATGGAATTCGTTAAAAATGTGAATTGTTGTAGAATTAATAATATTATACGAACCAAGAGCATTTATAAAGTAATTAAACTAGAGGATGTTAAAAAAAATTGATACTAGCTGTCGCCCGCGATTCCATCCGCCCGTAATTAAAAAAGCATAATTATTAGTCTATGTGTTCTTCCAGACTGTGTTCTACACCAATGCCAAGTTTCAGCGAGGTCCATTCAATCGTTTATATGGACAAAAGAATAGGGCTGTTATTTGGGTTTTCCCAACAATTATTCGAATTTTTCTCACCTTTGAAACCTTTCCTAGACCTCCACGAACATTTCAAGACCAAGATACAAATCCGTTCAGCCGTTCTCGAGTTTTAGCGAGACTAACGAAGAGCAATTTATTTTTATATATATAGATAAATGTTTTCAACAGAAATAGTAATAATTCAACTTTTTCTTTTAATAAAATATGCCATTTACTTCCAGTGGTGGCTGATCGACGAAAAGGTTATGTTTGTCACTGGATTCTTCAGCGTCGTTCTGCATCCGATACTCTTCAGTTTGATTTCTACCAAATTTAGAGAATCTCTTAAGGTATTTAGTAATGATATTTTACAACAAATTCAGCTTTTAGACTTCTTTCAACAAGATTACAAAAAAAAATAATAACCTAAAAATTATACAAGAAAATAACAAGTTAATGTGTTTATTTATTTTCCAGAGACTATGGATAACCAAGATCAGAAGACGTGAAATTAACGTCACTATGGTTTGAGAAACTTGAAGCCCTAATGATATTTTATGTTAAAATCCTTAACAAAATAATGGTCATTTAAACACCAAAACAATCTCTATTGACTGTCGCTGAATAGAATAAGAACATGTGTAAAGAAAATTTATTTTAAATCAGTAAATTTAGTCAAAAAAGCAAGACTCAACTAAAGCAGACTCAACAAATAGTGCCAATACCTCACTTCCTGTTACAATTTGTAAAAATAAATAAATCGGAATAGGCTTTTGACAGTTTTCTTTATGCTTTATCGCTGGTTCTGTATCTTAAGCATTTCAAGTGCGGTTTGGTTGACTTCACACATATCTTTGAATTTCTTCTCAGATATGTGCAGGTTGCATCACGATGTTTTCCTTCACCATAAAAACGTCGGTTAAATGTACATATGTAAATCGGATATCGAAAAACACATTAGTACATGGCGGAATTCGAACTTAGGACCTACAGATTGCAAATCAAGTGCTTGACCCCTGAGCCACCGACGCTCTCACTAAAAATACATGTCCATCTACATTTCAACCCTCATCCTAAAATATCCATATACTATGTTCATAAATAGATAACCAAACACCAGATAAAGGAATAATGTCTAAACATAATATATTAAACCGGGATAAAACAATTACATATAGTGATTTATGGAGGTAAAATGACTTGACATTTTTGATTTACATAGATATCCCTTGATAACGGCGTATCCATAAATTTAGCATTTGCGGTATAAGGGATCTTTAAACAAAAAATGAATAACCACACAGATACATATTTAGCCAAAAATGTTAGACCATTCATTTTTTTAATATATAATCCATAAAATTACTGCCAGTAAAAGTTCTTCTACAAGAAAGAAAATGCTTACTATAAAGAAATAAACGAGGTGAGTAAACTTGATTTTGATAAACCGCGAATAATAATGTTCTGTTTAACAAAATTTTACAATAGATGGCAGGATTACGAGATTCTTACAGTTCATAATTTGGGCTATTTAATGTGGTTTTTTTCTGGCTATTTTATTAACGAAGTATGATAAAATAACAAGGTTATGTCTACACTAGCTGTCGCCTGCGACTTTGTCCGCGTAGGATTAAAAAGAAACATAATTAGTAGCCTACGTGTTCTTCCAAACATTGTTCTATATGTATGCCATATTCCATCGAGATCTATTCAGCCGTTCTGGAGATACCTTCAAACAAACATCCATCCATCTATCCATCTAAACATTTGCATTTATAATATTACTAAGATTTCAGTGATTTTATTTACTACGTCATGCAAAATATATTTGAAATAAGAACTCTTTTCCAGAAGCGTTATTCGCTAAAGTTCTATGATTTAGGTCTTTTATTGAAGTTCATAAGTGTATGAAAAGTAGTTCGAACGTCCTTCACCTCAGTATTCGCTCAGTTCCAAATACCCTTTAATCTCGCTATTGCTTTATACTTCAAAGACCTCATTTTCGACAACCAACACAAGTTACCGTAAAATTCCACCGCCGCTACTCGCTGTGGCACTTGTACATACATATTGACATCTCTTTTATTCTCTTTGACAAAACAGAGATGACATTTATCAATACATGTTTCACGGCAGTGGAGTTCTACAGATACTATGAAAAACGTGTATACTCGTTGTATGTTCGCAGTATTCTAGTTAGAGATAAGATAATAGTATGAAAGTGGTTGACAACATGAAATTGTTTGAATGTTCGTAAGAGAAATCAGTAGATGATTCAAGGCAACAGTCCACCATTCCACGGGTTTTGTAAAGTTTGTGTTAGATCAGCGTACAAATGTTACGTTAAACGCACATATCTCGAATTCTCATACGGTAACCTAAAGGTCTAATCAATTAGTTTAATGCAACGAGTCTACAGACTGTCAACGTCAAGGACGCATTTTTTGAGGATGATAAATTTCTATAACAATATTTAAAAAGAACGTTGTGATGTGTACTACTAAAATGCCAACTAAAAGAAACGAAGCGCTTGTAGAATTAGCTTTACAAAAATTAATCTACTTAAACACATTTATGTATACTCAATTCAGCAAACACGATTATTGCCGGGCCCATTATCTGGCAAATAGACACCGATGGTGTGCACCTTCATTACAGCGTTAGATTCACACAGATAAGCATATCCCCGGGACGTTAAAGTAGCTAAAATTTGAGAAAAAATGAGTAATATTAGTGAAGAAACAAGTGATTTTGATATCGAGCAATGGTCACAATTTTTAGTGAGAGTTAGAGGCGAGGAGCAGTCTTGGACAATTGTGTTGTTTGTAATTATTTTATTTGCAATATTTTTTATTAGTTTAATTGGTAATCTATTAACTTGCTTCGTTATATATTCGGATAAAACTATGCATACTGCTACGAATTACTATCTATTTGATTTGGCGATTTCCGATTTGATAGTATCGTTCGCTATGTTGTTGGAGATTTATGAACATTTGAGCGATTCGTATCGCTTTGGTCACGTGGCTTGCAAGATACATTTCTTCTTTGTGATATTACTTTGGAATAATAGCATTTTGATAATGACAACGTTGGCTGTGGAGAGATACATAGCGATATGGCATCCAATGATGTTGAAATCGACTCCAGTATGGCGACGGGTGACGAAAGTAATGGTGATAGTTTTAATCATAGCAATAGCGGAGACGTTGCCTGAGGTTTGGACTGTGGAACTGGTGAGGACAAAGAAGTCAGCAGTGTGTTTTACGATACCTACACCTTTCGCAAGAGTAATAAATGGCGTGCTAGCATTGGTGACATTTGCGATACCATTGGCAATAATGCTATTTGTTTATACAATGATAGCTTTGAAAGTTAGTTTTGCTGAGAAGAACAATTCTAGGAGTCAGATATTCAATCATAGAGATAATAGACGGAAAGTTAACAAGCTTGTTAGTAAGTAAATTTTGATTAAATTGTTCATTATCATAGAGCCACGTGATGTACTAAATGTAGAACAATAGATATATATTTAAGTTTTTTCTCTATTTACTTAATACAATGATGGGATCTAAACTAAACCTCAGTTAAATGATTAATTGTGTATGTACAGTTGATTGTACTTGGTTAAAATCTCTATATTACATTAAAATTTTGTCATTAAATTGATGTAAGTTTATTTTAATGATTTTAATGAAAGTGAAGTTTTATTCTATACGATGTTTTAATGCTCAGTAGCACTGACGCTGTCTTTCGTGGTTTGCTGGTTGCCATTCTGCTTCTTTCGGGTGCTGATATTCGTGTACAATATGAGGCAGTTGATGCATCTCAAAAAGGTAAGATTTTTCTAAGTTATGGTTAAATAAGATAGATCAAAACATATTCTTTTGAAACGTTATGAGTTAAGGAAAGTAATTTTTTATTCCGTAACAGTTTCGAAGTAAATATACAATGATTAATGTATTCAGAATTTTGGGAGACAAATTATGACAATAAATTGCTCACGTATTTCTCTGTTGTGTAATTTATTATAACTTCGTGGCTTATACTTCCTTTATTAGGTTAATTGTTTGCAAAATATTTACATTAATAGTAATTATTGAATTTTAAATGGAAAGAACTTATTAAGAAATAAATTTACAAATATATTTTAAAGCTTAAGACTTTTTCATTGAAATAAACTAATTGAACATAAAACTGTATTTAGAGCCTAACTTTATAATTGTAAAATAAGTCAGTTTTTATAATCTGAATCGTATGTCAATATAACATTTGTTCCATTCCATTTACGATCTAGAGAAATGTAATAACAATTATTTATTCTTACGTTTAGAGGCCGATCGATTAATTTGAAGTGTTACCTTTGGGCTTATGATATTGGTCGATTATTGATAAGGATATTGATAGATTAATAGGATGTGAGTTAGTAATAAAAAAATATATTTCCAGTGGTGGAGCATTGGCCAGCGGATCACCTTGTTTCACAACTGGTTTAGTATCGTCCTAAATCCTATATTGTTCAGTTTGATGTCAACTAAATTCAGAAAATCACTCAAGGTGAGAGTTTGAACGAATTTTAATGTTTAAATCTGAAGTTTATATTATTAAAATGCTTTTATTTAATTTTAACAGTCCCGATGTTACCTTCCTGGTTAATGATTGAGCTAAAATTTTGCATTTTGTATAAATCGCGTGACAATGCAATATTATAATGACATGGTACTTTTAAGATGGAGCTATAAGATGGCCTGTAGGAACTACGCGATGAAACGATGTAACCTCGTCAGGCTTGGGCTCGTTTGAATCCATCTAAAAAATAACCCAGAGCTAAATTAATATTTTTCTACACTAAGGCACCCTTAACGGACATTTAAAGATTCTGGGTACATTAATTTAAAAATACTTATAAAAAAATAGTTCCTAATACTAAATATGCCTGACGAAATTTTTTTGTACGTACACGAAATGATTTTAAAAATTTACCAACATCTTTTATCACGAACAATGTTTTGCTAGCGGTGTTTGGAATCCAAACAGTTCTAGATAAAGCTCTGTGTGATTTGAAAGTGATCTTAAAGATTAAAAAAACATGATAACACGATTTATTTCATTTTCAGAAGCTATGGACGACAAAATTTAAAAGGCAACGCATCGAATTACAAACGACCTGTGCGGTGTGAAACGGTTATCGTGAGTTTACACTGTCCCTCTCGTGCTATGTGAAAAAAACTTAGATATACATTTTAATACTAGTGGCACAACAGTGAAATTACACGGTTAGATTTGAAGTGCCATAATAATTTATTCAGATGAACAAATTTATTAAAACAATGTGTTTTTAAATTATTCAAACTTTTGTGAGACATTATAATAAACTGATATAAAAACGGCTAAACACTCACGTATATTCGTCAGGTGGCGGCACCGACTAGTTTCGAGCCCATCGGGAGCCCTTCATCAGGATGAGTAGGACTAGTTTTATTTCGCGGACGCGGCGTGTTTAGCCGTTTTTATATCAGTTCAATGTGTTTCTGTAAGGTGTTTTTTCAGTGGTAAACCACGGTTAGAGATTAAGGTTGACTACTAACACTAATAATTTTATTAAAATGCAAGTGAAGTTTTATTATGAAAGTTTATCATTCATAACTAACCGTGAAAGTATTATAAGATAATATTAAAAAGATAATATTATTAATATTAGTTGTCATGTATTTTAATATTTATTTGTCATAATTTACTTATGACAATATTTTATTGATCTTTGTTCCAATAATTAACTATATTTAAGATCCTTGAAAATCAATAACGCTTTGTCATAAATAAATTAATGTAGAATCACCTTAATTTTACTTTTTATAAAACAATTATTTTTAATTAGTTGTAACTTTAAATCTTATGTGTCAATAAATATTAAATTATTAAGTTTAATTAATGTTTTTAATAATTATTTAAAAAAATAATTAAAATTGATGATGATTGTTCGTTTAAAAAGTTAAATTGTAAATTCACCCATTTCCCATTTTAATAACTATAATCAGACTAATAATATAAATGCGAATGTTTGTATGGATGGATGTTTTTTTGAAGATATCTCCGGGACGGCTCAACGGATCTTAATGAAATTTGACACAGATATAGAACATAGTCTGGAAGAACACATAGACTATTAAGTTTTTTTTTTAATTTAGCGTGGACGGAGACGCGGGTGACAGCTAGTTGATTTATAATCAAAGTTAAAAAGTTAAGAGTATTATAGTTCGGTGCCCAATCCGGTAATAATAACGATGTAACGGCCCGAGCCGAGGTTCCTGAGGAAGTCCACGAGATTAGTTACTCTTAAACGAGGTTTAGGCTAAGTGCCATCTGCGCTCGGCCACCTCAAGCACTAAATACCTCCTCAAGGCAAACAGTGGCAATTCAGTCACAAAAAAGTAATAGTTCGGTGTGTGAAAGTAAATTATATTTATTACCAACTATGAGTGTAAAAACAATGGTTACTAGTGCATATTTCTTGTAACATCTGCGCAGCTTATTTTAATAATGGCGACCACCAAAGTACTTCCGGCTTGGACCACTGCCAACATACTACAGTTTAATTGCATTAAAATATTTATGCTCATACTCCATTTTCACAAAGCGAAAATTATTATATCTTAATTATCATCATCATCAGCTCACTATACGGCCCCACCGAGGGGCTCGGAGCCTACCCTAAGTTAAGGGTGACTAGGCCATAATAAACCACGCTGGCTAAGTGCGGGTTGGTTGACTTCACATATATCTTTGAATTTCTTCTCAGATATGTGCAGGTTGAATGGATACCAGGATGTTTTCCTTCACCGTAAAAACGTCGGTTAAATGTACATATGTAAATCGGAAATCAAACAACACATTAGTACATGGCGGGATTCGAACCCAGGACCTGCAAATTGCAAGTCAAGTGCTTGACCCCTGAGCCACCGACGCTCTCGGTATCTTAATTACATATATGTACTTTAGGCATAACTAGGCATAATTTAGTCCTCTTTCCCTTCCCACCTTTTCTTATAAGAAAAGGACGGGTAGTGGAAGTGGACTTTCCGGATGACAGGATGCACGGAAAGGGAAGATATTTTCTTTCTGTGCATCCTCTTCTCCATCGATTAAAGGTAGGCAACCCATATTCAATTGCGTATGTCTATGGGCAACGGTCACTTCGTTATTTCAGCGATTTCAGGTGGCCGCTCGCTCGTTTTCCACCTTATGTTAAAAAAAAGATTATGTAAGCTTTATGCATCTCCATATTAACTTTAAGTTTGTTAAATTTTACGTTAATCCTTTCGCTCAATTTCGATTTACCAGAAAAGTTTACGCTTTAAATATTAAAATACTGTTTTAATTTAATAACTGATGTTATTAAAATTTACAAATCCCTAATAACTCTTATGACCTATCCATCAATCACTGTCTAAATTGGTTTTCCTTTTCTCGAATTTTACATTCCAGAATGTTCGAGGTGGGCGGGAATTGGTATTCAATTAAAATTACTTTTACTTCATTTGTTTCGCTAACGATTCAATATTTAATCATTTAAATTGTTATAAATAATATAATTTATGTATTTAAAAGTTGTTAAGCGTTGTAGCGTATAATGATATCATTTATGTATTGAAATTTCCCTACATACTGTTAGGAAGAAAATCCGAAAATGTGGCAGTGTATTGACCCAACAGCCATACTAAAATGTAGACGTTTGTGTCCTCTCACTAATCATTCTGTCACTGGACTTTGTAACGAAAGCACGTCATACTCGCCAAATGATTCTAGTTCATAATGTCTAAAAATACGGTACTGATAAATATGAACATTTTAGAGTTAATCCTATTAACATTACGCTTAACAGGCATCTGTTTGCGAAACTTAATATCTTGCGTGAACTCTCGCAAACACGAGGAAAAACATTAAACAGAACTTTTATACGTAAAACAACCGGTCTGTCTGTCTGCGTGTTTCCTTCTTGTTGACCTAACGATCCTTGTTATAACTGAGTTACCAACATTTATAATAAAAAAATTGGGATAATACAAATTTAAATGTAAAATATGATTCATACTACGCGAACACTATAATATATGAAACTTTATTTCGCTTTCTATTACCGAAGCGTATTTTTTTTTAAAATATATTATTAAGTAATCTCTTCTTATTATGAATATTTATTTTTTTGTATTATTCGATTAAGATTGTTTCGATTAAACAATAATTTGCTTTAGGAAAAATTATATTTTATAATTATTTGAAATTGGAATCTTCCGTTCTTCAATTGTTTAAGCTTGTTAATGAGGTGTCTGATAACATGTCGATATTGGAAATAACTTACGCGAACAAAGCGAAAGCGAAGTACAGACAGATTATTCAGGATATTTGTTAGCTAAATGAACGGTTCTCAAATCAATTATCTCGTTTCACTGATATTGAAAATAAGGGAACATGTGTTGTATGTAAAATAACCCAACCCAGCTTTATACATCTTATCTTACTAATATTATAAATGCAAATGTTTTGATAGATAGATGGATGTTTGTTTGAAGGTATCTCCATAACAGGTCATAGGATCTTGATAAAAATTGGCACAGATGTAGAACATAGTTTGGAAGAACACATAGGGTAATTAATAAGATGCATTTTTAACTGCGCGAAGACGGAGACGTGAGCGACAGCTAGTTTTGAAATAAATTAAATATTAAAGGATAAACATGTATTGTGACCATTATAAATTCATTGTTAATAATATTGTCATTTATAAATTTGGTATATCATAGATTTGTGCATGACATGACATATATTAGCCCACTGACATTTGTATCAGTCTGTATATGGTCTTCCGCGCACGATCTTCTGTCGGCTTCACATGGTCTAATGATCGTATTCCACGGAAGGCGGGTGCTTTACACAGGGAGAAGTAATTGTCTTTTCTTATGATGTAAATGGTACAGCGTAAGTATACTGATGAAATTGATATAAAGGTTAACCGATAAAGTGTTTAGGTATTTCACCAGTGGAGACTGAAGGGTATTAAATGAATGTTAATTAAAATAATGTCATAATGTTTGTCCGTAAGTACAACAACGATTATGGTCATTACAAGAAGAAAGCGAGCGCCGGAGCGAGTCATCTCTTAAAGAGATAAGCGCACTTCGCGTTATGTTATGCAACAGTACTGCTCTTGTTGGGTATAAAGTAACATAGATTAAGTATCGCAGAACAGTATTTAAGTATAAACTTTTAATACTAGCAAAAGTACTGGTTCAGGAGTGTTCGCTCTCAACTTTGACATATTTCTATTAAAGCGTGATGTAATTAAAAAAGATCTTTTATTGTATCTATATATATAAAAGAAAGTCGTGTTAGTTACACTATTTATAACTCAAGAACGGCTTCACCGATATGGCTGAAAATTGGTGAGGAGGTAGCTTAGAGTCAGGAAACGGACTTAGGATACTATTTATTCATTTTTTAATTTTTGTTTTCGAATTTATGCCTTGAAGAGCTGCTTTTTATTTAACTTACTAATATTATAAATGCGAATGTTTAGATTGATGTGTGGGCTTACATTAATTAAGTTTTTTTATATATCCTCGCGGACGGAGTCGCGGGCGACAGCTAGTACATTATAAATATGGGAACCTGATCCTGTGTATTTTATTGTTTTTATAATTTTCTAACAGATGGCGTTAAAATACTATAAAATCGTAATGAAAATATATGCCTTATTTTTTTTCTTTTAAAACAGGGATTTTTGAAATAGATAAAACTTCTAGGAATAAATTGTAATTACTTTTCCAAAAACAAAATCTAAAAAAATAATAGTGTAATAGAGTTTTAATAAAGTTTAACATGAATTGTAAATAATGTGAGATAGTATTGCTGCCGCCGGCTGCTGGCTTCCCTCGGCTAATATATTCTAATACCCTACTTTATAATTATTTTAACAGGCGATTCGATGCTTCAACTTCTTATACTAATCTATCTTAAAAGAGGTTGAGTTCTCTATGCTTATGCATTCTAATATAATTGTTCACATGGTTAATAATATTAATTTAGTGTTTTTTTTTATAATAACGCCAATATAGCAGTTTTCCTGTTGCTATACTAGTTATACTAGTTTTACTTGTATAATATATTTGGTAACAAAATTACTTTAAAAGTTAAAATTTGTCTTTGATTAATACTCCTTAATCCAGTCTTTATTCAAAAACGGCAGTTAAATTTCAAACTTGTTGCCTTAGATAACGGACCACTTTCCCGCCAGTTACGGCCACGTACTAGACGTCCAGTTTGCATATGACACAATTGACCCGCAAAAGGTCCGGTTAAAGCACCTTTTCAACTTGAATGTGTTACACGGAGTCACACTTAGTAATAAGGATATACGGAAAAACAAACGTTTTTAAGTATAGGCATCGTGCAGTGGTGTCAACGGCGGCTTTATTTATTTACACACTGTGTCAAATAAATATGGGATACAAGTAAGGATTCTTTTTAATTCTTTTTTTTCCTCATAATAAAATTGTTAATAATTGTAGTATTTGTTGATATTAAAAAAAACTGTATTGCGTATTTATTTTAAATATTTAAATAAGTAAGAGAACGTTAAGTTATTCCGTATTCAAAATATAAATCTGTCATAACAATAATCACACTGCCACGTCATACGAGTCTTGTGATTTATTTATTAAGACGCTATTATCAAACATACAAAGAGATTCAAATGTAATATGTATTTAATTTTCTTGCTTTTTTAATTTATTTTAAAAGTTTAGCAACAGATGGAGCTTAGTACAATTTTGGCAAATGTTTCTATCGACCATTATATTTTAAATGTCTTTGAATATTAATAAAAACATTAAAATATATATAACTTATTTTAATTTGTTTTTCTTCAAGGATACTATATTTTCATACTTTTTAAATTTCTTAATTATGGTCATTATAGTCGTCTTCCTACGTAACTTTTCCTTTATTGTGAATCTTCTAACCTCGTCGTTGGGAGACGTGCTCAGAATACTTCCTAACAACATCACATCTACGACTTTAATTACTTCCATAAAATATGTATGAATCTGCAAAAAGTAATTAAAACTGTCGACATTTTAATGCAAAATAAATTTTCCCTTATAATTAGTCTTTTAAGTAGTAGAAGTATATCATGATTTAGTAATTTTTCTGAAGTCTTGCAAGTGTAACCGTGGAATTCTCAGACCGATGTTCTCGTTTTAAACATATTGCTATCTTTGTTTTGTCAAAGATGAAAGACAGGGATAACGATGTGTTTTATAGAGATTTTGGTGTCAGAAACCAACGCTAAATCATAGATAATTTTGAGGTTCAGTTGTAATTTGTTGTAAGGTCTACAGATCCCGTTCCGAAGATACCGTTTTATAATTCGAGTTTATCCACAACATCTGTGCAAAGGTTATAAAATAGCAACCCCAAAAAAGTGAACCAAAGCATACTTATGATTGCTTCTGATAAATTATCAAATTAGTGTAATCAAACATCTCAAACATGTACAAGAGCGTGAGACAAAGCGGTTTGCTACCAAATAATTTGATACCCGAATTTAACTACCGTGGTTTTCTGAGTCCAAACTCTAGGCATACAAGATATTATTATCTCTGTGTTGTCGAAGAACACGATGTTTTAAATACGGATTTTAGTGTCAGAAACCCACAGTGAGATTTCTTATGTTATAATTATATGCTTTCATCTCTTGTATTTTCAGATTAATAATTTTGTTGGGTTTGCTGCTTGGAGTTCTGTACTGCATACACATACTTGTTCAGGATTATCAAGCTGTGACTGCCTCCAAACTTCTTCGCTTTCTTTTCAAAAGGGATACGAGTCCGAATTACACGGTAATTTAAATTAAACTCGATGTCAAAATTAATTAGTACAATCTTAAAATACTTATTTTCCTCAAATTATTATAAAGCTTATAAAATAAAAAATAAAAACGCTTGAGGCTATCTGTATTTACTGTAAGACGGCCCTTATTCGTAAATAATCTTACTAACATTATAAATGTGTAAGTTTATATGGATGGATGGATTATGTTAGTTACAAGGTTTCGTGATGAAATTTGCCACAGATGTAGAACATAATCTATTAATTAAGTTTTTTTAATTCCGCGCGGATGGAGTCGCATGCGGCAACTAGTCTCTAAAATAAAACATGGAGATTGCGTGTTGTCTCTACTTCTATGTTTATATATTTTTTAATTTAAGTTTCGTTTATAAAAGTCGAGTTCTTTTCACTAAACAAATTTTTCAAAAATTCTTTACAGAAACCAAGCGTAAGGTGGAGAAAAATTTTAATGTATGATAAAATACAATGCACTCGGTTCCTCTATTGTGCTCTGGGAGCAGCGGCTGAAGCGGGGCCGGACGGGGAACTACCCACAGGTTTAATATTAATGCTCAGGTGATTATTTTATATCACCGCAACATTTTTATACTTGTCATGCTCTCGCTTAAAATAATGAACTTTATTGTAACAGATCTGCACTTTTCTATTGTTAAAATGCTTGAAAATATTATGCAACACGAGTTCAGTTCATGCGACATCTTCTATGACTGTCATTCATAAAAATGACTATTCTTTGTCCTAAACGATGAATGATTGCAACGCGATGCTACGTGATTTGAACAAAGACGAAAATATCCAATGCTCTATATTGTTGGCCTACGTCCAGCCATAAATTACTGTTTATGACCGAAATCAATATTTGGTCCTTAAGATCGATTCGAAAATTATAACAGACAAAGTAATAATATTATTCGATTGCACTCTAAGCGATAGGTTAAAATGTAATTCAAATGAATTAAAAATACCGTGAATCAATATACTCGTAACATAGTTGCAGTGCGTCGTTTCGCATTACATCACTCACACATATACAAATTATGATATATAATAAGATTGTTTTGGGTAATAATTAATTAATTTATCGCCATAAATAATATAAACATATTAAAAATAATTGTTTCAGCTTAGAACCTAGAGGTGAAGACAAAGATTCTCTGGAAGTGTTCCAGAATGCGTACGAGTTTGGTCGGAATGCACGTGATGAAAGAAATTGCAGAAAAATTTACCCAATGTGTCTTTTCAAGAGTTCATTATTACTTGATCTTATAAAATATCTACTAAGTTCTTAATTATAATAGCTAAAAACATTTTTATACAGTTATATTGTAATATTTTTGTTTTTTTTTGGTATTCCGTACTCAAAATACCTTGATTTAATCTAAAACTGTTGTTTTAAATTTAATTTAAAAGCAGGAAATGACAGAAGACCCGTCGTTAATTTAAGTAAGTACTTTGCCATCATTTTCAACTTAATGTCTGATAAATAGAAGCAAATTTTCCAATTTTTACATATATTTTTTAATTAATTGGTAACCTGACACCGTTGATGGATCCTAAAGCTAACAACCTTTGATCATCGACATAATGTAATTTTGTCGACGTTTTTTTCCATTAATGTTAAATAAATGAACGACTTTGAAAATAAAATAAAAATCCTTACATCGACGTGAATTGAATCGTTCGTCACTTCCGCGAATTTCCGGACTTTTTCAAGACTGCTATCGTTTCGCATATTTCCAAATCAGGATAACAAAGAAGATGTCAAAAATCATAGACCCATTTTCTTATTTTTCAAGATTCTGCAACGACCAGTCAATACAAGACTGACTAACGCAAAAAACCATTTGCTAATAAATAATCAGGCTAGTTTTCTTAAGAAAAGATCGACGGATGCCGTCTTGGAACTGATATTTATGATTAATATTTCGACAGAGGAGAGAATATAATCGGTGTATTCCTTAACCTAAAAAAGCATTTGACACAGATTCTAGACAATTGTCGAAGCTTTACGTTTGTTTTTTCGTATGATTTCGGCAATGTAAACACAAGGTTTTTGTAACGTAATGTTATACACGTACTAAAAAATCCCTGCAGACACCCTCTGTCAGATTCACGTGTACGACATGCATCAAGATGAGCACCTGTATCCTGGATCGGAGACGTTTATTCCCGAGCGCTTTCTGCCTGAGAACACAAACAGATGTTACCCCTACGCTTATTCCCTTTAATATTGGACCAAGAATTTGTATAGATAGATATGCTATTTATAATTTGTTAAGTACTACTAAAATAGATGTTCCATTTTAAAGCTTTACTTTGCCTAATTATTACGAAAACAACCTACATAAAGCATTTCAAAGGGACTTAAATATAAATTGATATATTACATAAGTAATTTTGTCTCTTCTTTTTTATGGCCACAATATTTACGTAATTTGTAAGACCATAATTTATTGTATTTTGTATCATTTTAATGTGTTAAAAAGGTTATTTAAAGGTGATACGAATACTTTGACTTAAAGACGCTATTCAGTCGGTTGGAATTATATTAATTTGCAAATGCATCAAGCATATGCTTGTACGAGATGGCAATTACGTCGCTTGAGCTTAACGTACGGCTAACCACAAGCGTTGTCATTGAACGTTATATAACTACGACTATAATTGCCTGGGACGGTTTTAGCATTTCCCACACCCTGGGCGGGAATTTTTGACAAAAGGATGAATAAAGAAAAAATTACGTTATCATTGTGTGCTTGTATTCATAAAAAGCCGCAATGAAATTTGCCTACTCTCCATCCATTTATTTCACTCCGCCACCGGCTAGCCATCTTTTTTGTAAAATGTAGTGGCCATGTATTTTTTTTTTAAATCTGTTACTAACATAAGCAATTTACAAGTAACTAAGTCGCTCGAGACTGCGAGTGCTTAAAATTAAAAAAAAAACATAATTAGTGGTCTATGTGTTCTTCCAGACTATGTTCTACATGTATACCAAATCTCATCGAGACCTGTTCAGCCGTTCTGGAGATATCTTCAAACAAACATCCATCCATCTAAGCATTCGTATTTATGATATCGGTAAGATTTAATTATAAAATTCCTTAGTAGCATTTGTATTATTATTCAATGAATAGAGAAAATGTATAATTTTTAAATCTCCAGATATAAATGTCCAAAAACTTATTTTTTTAAAAGAATGAAAAGGATATATTTTCGTAGTTTCCTTAGATTTTATTGGACTTATTAAAAAAAATGATTACTCTGTTAATGTACTAAGGAAAGATCTCCTTACGTAAGTTCACATTCCGCGAGGCAAGTCGTTAACTAACACGTAAAATAAAAGACAAAGCCAAATTGTCCGTTAGAATAGTCGTAAACATGTTTATAGTATTTTTACAGCTATTGGTAGGCGCCGTATTTAATGTTGGATCGTTTCATTTTGTTTCGGTTATTTACATCCGATCATCAAATAAATGTATAAAAACGTTCATCCTGAGGTTATCATAAAGTGGGAAAGGAAAAATTTATACACTCCACATAAATGATAGTAGTCGGAGAAAATCGAGTATATTTTTTATAAGAGAAGGGGGCAAACGAGCGACGGGAACACCGAGTTGATCAACGACACCCAAGGACACCTGCAACACCAGAGGAACTGGAGATGCGTCGCCGTATCAATTTTTAAAAATATATTTATACTATAGAATGCAAGAAGAGCGACGGGAGTTCAGGTTAGGATTTGAATCTTGCAATCTACAGGTTCTGGGTTCAAATCCCGCCATGTAACAATTTGTTTATCGATTTCCGATTAACATATGCACCTAAATTTATTCCCGACGTTCTTATGTTGAAGGAAAACATCGTGATGCCAACCTTAACATATCTGAGAAGAAATTCAAAGATATGTGTTAAGTCAACTAAACCGCACTTGGCCAGCGTGGTTGAGTATGGCCTAGTCACCCCTAATTTAGGGTAAGCTCCAAGCCCCTCGGTGGAGATGTATAGTGAGTTCATGATAATGATGACAAACATACGAATATGAGGCTAAAGGAAAATCATAAAGGTACAGACGTCTACTATTTACAAATGAATGAAATAAATAAGGAAAACGGAAAGAGGAAGCGACGGCAATAACTTTATGCCTGTCGTTTCTTTATTCGTCTTTATAACGAATTGCGTACAAAGTATACTAACACCTTACATAATTTCAGACATAGAATTTTTTAAGGTTATCGCTCATTATATTCTCAGGAACGAACATGCTTTGACGAGGAGTGATCGATTAAAATGAGTGCAAGAAATTTGAATTTGTTTATAAAAATGTACCTACATCAAAGGACTCATCGCGCGTTCAGTTCAGGATACCGACCCGCGGCCCGGACTGTTTTTTCTCGGCCCTAAGGCAGAGGTGGATTAGCGTGTCCTATTTATTAATAAGCGATAACTACTAAACCGTATTTATACTCCACTAGCGGTCGCCAGCGACTCCGTCCTCGCGGAATAAAAAAAAAACATTATTAAAAAAAAACTATGATTGAGCCTATGTGTTTTTTGTTTAAGCAATAAATTATTTTCCATTATTTTTTCATGTGTTCTTCCAGACTATGGTTTATATTCGTGCCAAATTTAATCGATATATTACTACTTACTATATTTTCAAACAAACATCCATCCATCCATCAATTTATCCATCTAAACATTCGCATTTATAACATTAGTAAGATAACTTAAGAAATATCTTCAGTGTCTTAATTAAAATTACTTGATATATATTACAATAGAAGGTCAATAGATTTACACAGGTTTATCAGTTCTGACGGTCTGAGAAGTAATCTGTGTTTATGCATTAACTATGTGATCTTACGTGCGTGTAATCAACAGTAAACGGAATATTATATGAAGTTCTACCACTTCGACATTTTATTCGTAACTCTATAAACCTTGGATATTAGTTCATAAAACTTTTAGAAGCATAGCAAGACAAAGATATATGTACATTAGAACTTAACCTTTAGCTGCCCTACATCTATATCAAAAGAAGTCGTGTAAGTTACACTATTTATAACTCAAGAACGGCTTTACCGATATGGCTGAAAATTGGTGAGGACGTCGCTGAAACCAGGAGACGGACATAGGATACCATTTGTTTTATGCCTTGATGAGCTGCTTTTTATTTAACTTACTAATATTATAAATGCGAATGTTTAGATGGATGTGATGTGGATGGGTGGATGGATGTTTGAAGATATCTTAGAACAGCTGACCGTATCTCGATTGTATTTGGTATACGTATAGAACATAGCATGAAAGAACACATAGGCTACACTAATTAAGTTTTTTTATATATATCCACGCGGACGGAGGCACGGGCGACAGCTAGTAGATGTACATCTACATCATATATTAACCTTTTGTAACCTATATAATCATCATCAGCCTGTGTCACATCGCCTGGATGATGATTACAAAAGGTTAATATTAAGTTAATATATCTAGATTAGGCAGCAAAGGTTAAGTTAAAATGTAACTACATCTTTGTATTTTTATGCGAGAATAAATAATGTACATTTAATTGTTTACAGTTTTTTTGGATATGTCTTTCCCAATGCCTGACAGTATGCAGTCCTCGGTTTTTTGCATACTTCATACTTCTTGCTGTCTTTAACAATCCAAAATAACTCATAAATTTGGTTATGCAATGTGATTATATATTATTATATTTAATATACATCCTTATTTCTATAATTACATATAGTCTTAAATCTATGATATAAAATAAAATGTAATAAAAAGGAGTCCCTTTAGGCAAGGTATTATTATAATAATTACCTATGTCCTTGACATATCTATGCCAGATGCGTTTTTATAAACAACTAAGCTAACAGAAGATTAATGTTAACATAGGTTCTATTGTAACGAAAAGCCGGTGTGTTTTTCGTCTTATAAGTAAACATCATTTTTCACTCCACGAAAAGGAAATCTTGCTTATCTGAATTATCAAAAGCTCTTTCATAAAAGTCAAATTGATTTTATTTTTTTTCGGTTTAACGAAGTCGTATTGTTAAAAATAAAGTAAAGAGTGATACATAAAGAAATAACGTTTAAAGTAGATGTTAAAATTTATTTAAAACTAACTCTCGTCCGCGACTTCGTCTGCGCGGAGCTAAAAATACTTAATTAGTAGGCTTTGTTATCTTGCAGACTATGTTCTACATCTGTGCCAAATTTCATCAAGATCCGTTATACCCTTTCGAAGATACGTTCTAACAAACATCTATCCCTCCATCCATCCATGTAATTTTTCGCATTTATAAGATTAGTAAGAATGGCATTCTGATGTGATATTTTTAACAGAATGACGAATCAGTATTTTAAACATTGGATTCCTGTATCAAGAAATGAATTAAGAGGAAAATTATATTAACTATTTCGCTCTGACACAAGGACCCTCTGCAAAATAACTAATTAATTTTATATTAATACAAAATTTTCTACTAAAAATCTATAAATAGTCCGCTATAATTAGTACAAGCCCTTTCAAATCTTACGCCAAAACTCTTGACAATGAGCTTGAGACAGAGGTAAATGGTTAAAACTATGTTATTTAGATTCTGTTAGGCAAAACTATATGAAGCAATAAATTCTTCTTACTAATATTATAAATGCCAATGTTTAAATGGATGGATAGATGTTTGTCTGAATGTATCTCCGGAACGGCTGAACGTATCTCGCTGAAATTTGGTATAGATGTAGGATATAGCCCGGAAGAAGACATAGGCTACTTATTAAGTTGTTTAAGTCTGCGCAAACGGAGTCGCGGGCGACAACTAGTATTACATAAATATTTACACAACTTTTTATAATTTGCTGGCGAGTAAGAAGTTAGCGCAGCGACGAACCCTCATAGCTGTGTTCAAGTAACTTTTTGTTTATACGAAACGACTAGACGGGAACATGCGTACTTTACAGTAAACTCGAGTTTTATAACAGTGAGATTGCATATAAGTAACACTAGCATACGTGTTTTCCTTATATAAAATTTAAATTTGCCTGAAAATATGCTCAAAACTTGAACATTTTAATTTTCATAACATGTATGTTTTAAATGTAAAATGCGAAATATTCTGATAACGGTACGTTATAAATTTCAATGCTCATATAATACGTATTTTCAATGTCAGTCATTTAAAATATTTCGTTATTTTAGCGTACATTTAAACATAAT